GAGAGAGAGAGACAGAGAGAGAGGGAGGGAGAGACAGAGAGAGAGACAGAGAGACAGCGAGACAGAAAGACAGACAGACAGACAGACAGACAGAATCTGGACTTCATCTCTTTGTTCGTACCAAGCCACACCCGATCCCTGCTTCACAGCAGTACCAACAATTAGCAACAAGGGAAATATTAGCACTTGATTCCAGTCTGGATTAAGCCACAAAAGGTGTGAATTAGACCTGATACTTCCTTTTCCTATTTGGCCTTGGATTCTAAATATAACAATAAGCTCAGAGGAGTCCTTTCTGCATATGTCAAATCCCTGGAATGAGAATACGAGCAGTAAAAGACGATGCACATTATTCAAACATGAAGTATCCTTTTTACATAAAACCAAATTGATCCCCCCCCCCCCCTCTGTCTGGAACATCATCATCCATTGTCTTTATAGCACTGTCAATGTTAGCCCCATTCATTAAGTAATTCTGGCCACAGACGCTTCCGTAGGATTAATCAGAATAATGGTACAGGTTGTCCTCAAATTACGACCGTAATGGAGCCTGACCATCAGAGTCATAAGTTGTGATGGTCATAAAAATCACAACCAATTTGATTTTATGACCTTTGCGGTGGTCATTAAGTAAATGTTAATGGTTTGCTATGGGCATAATTTTGCTAGTTTGGAGCAAAACCATTGTAAAATATTGTCGTATGTTTGTTAGGACATTGTAACCGCTTGCTGATCACTTAAAATGACCGATCATAAGGTGAGTACTATCTGTACTGAACCAGCATTAGTAAGAATCAAGAATTAAGCATAATGGAGTGGTTGCTTATATGCAGCTATATTTTTTCCAATTGTCATCTACCGTACACAATCACATGTGCCAGACCTGGTTTTGCCCAGAACACAATTTGGAACGCTGTAGCATTGAGAAAGTTTCATTCCAAAAGTATGTTTCTCATACTTCTCTTTTTTTATTTATTTGATTTATATCCCACCTACCTGCTCTGAGGACCACTTAGAAAAGATAACAAGGTCTCAAATGATGCAGGGATTGCTAAAGAAATCCCTTTATTTTCTAGAGCTAGGCAACCATGTCTGTCTGTAAGTCCCATTTGGAGGCTATCTTGTAGATTTGAACCTCAAATTTCATACACAAATCTCATACACAATTTTCTAGCCTTAATTTTTTTATCAGTTAAACTGACTATAGCTTTCTCTTTCTCTTTCTCTTTTCTTTCTTTCTTTCTTTCTTTCTTTCTTTCTTTCTTTCTTTCTTTCTTTCTTTCTTTCTTTTTTCTTTCTCTCTCTCTCTCTTTCTTTCTTTCTTTCTTTCTTTCCTCCCTTCCTTCCATCCATCTAATCTTGCCTTTATTGTTTTTACAAATAACTTAAGACAGAAAACATATCCAATACACCTCCTTCCTCTTATTTTCTGCGACAATAGCAAACCTGTGCAGTGGATTGGGCTGAGAGAGCGTGACTGAGGGAAAGTCACGCAGCTGGCTTTCATGCCTAAGGTGGGACTAGAACTCACTGTCTTCTGGTGATCGGCCCAAAGTCACTCAGCTGGCTTTCATACCTAAGTCAGGGCTAGAACTCAAAATCTCCTGGTGATTGGCCCAAAGTCACTCAGCTGCCTTTCATGGCTAAGGTGGAACTAAAACTCAAGGTCTCCTGATTTCTAACCAGGTGTCTTAACCATTAGATCAAACTGGCTCTCAACAATGATAACTGTATAACATGATCATACATGTAGAATTAGGGTTTGTTTGTTTGTTTATGATGTTCTCCCCCCTTTCTTTATGAGGGCCTATCTTTTAAATGAAGTGAATGTGAGATTCCAATCTTGCTCTAGAAAATATCCCGGGAGCTAAATTAACATTCGTAGGGAGAACATGAGCTGCACATCATGTTCCTTTGTGAGGATGTCCGGCCTGCTTCTATCACAGAGACTCTTTTTCCCTAATGAGAATGTGAAGAAGGCTCACAGGATTTACCTTTTGCCCGATGACCTGGTCCATAAATCTTCATCAACAGCCCTTCCATTCCAAGATAATGCAAGCCAGATGACTTGTTGTCCACCTTGGAAAGAAAGTGGAAGCCACTGCATTGCTGACAGGGGACAAAAGTTGCATCTGTGTTTTAAAAGGGCCACCAGCCAAAGGAGAGGCCGGTAGAAAACAGCTATGGAGAAACCCCTCTCTCTTCCTTTTAAATCTGATCTGGGCAATCCAGGAAATTGAAGCCCGAAACTGTTCAGGCCCAGATAGAAAACAGATGATCTTATGCACAGAAAATCTACAGTCGGAGCTTTGCAGCCCTGCTAGGGGAACACATGTCAGCAATTCATGCAGCATTTCCAGTGGGAAGGAGGGAACCTTTTATGCATTTGATGCTTAACACTTTGCAAGAAGACCAGCCCAACTAGGATATTTTTCCAGGCAACTTAAAGGTGTCCCCTTCCACCATCCTATCCATCCCACTTATATTCTACTAGTCTTTCTGATTTAGCTACTCTTTTAATATTTTGTTGTCCAGTTGCACTGATGCACAACCTCCCCTTCGCATAGGAAGGAGATGTTCCTTCTCAGGCAGGAATGTCAACTTTGAAATGTGCCTATGCTGTTGCAGCCACCTTTTCGTTTCTCAGCCTGCCACAGCCTGTGAGGTGGAGGGAAAGGGTTGGAATGCTAACTGCAGATGACAGCAAGAAGCCATCCCGTGGGAACCAAGGTCATGTCAACAGATGTTTGGCAATGACCTGAAGGAATTGCCATGATGTTGTTGTTAGTCAGTCACAAAGTCATGTCTGACTCATCATGACCTCAGGCCTTCCTGTCCTCTACCATCCTCCGGAGTCCATTTAAGCTCACGCCGACTGCTTCAGTGACTCCATCCAGTCACCTCATTCTCTGCCGCCCCCTTCTTCTTCTTTTGCTCTCAATCTGCTCCCAATCTTTCTTACACTCTTCTCCAGGGAATCCTTCCTTCTCATGAGGTGGTCAAAGTATTTGAGTTTCATCTTCAGGATCTGGCCTTCTAAAGAGCAGTCAGGGTTGGTCTCCTCTAGCACTGACCGGTTGGATCTCCTTGCAGTCCAAGGGGCTCGCGGGAGTCTTCTCCAGCACCTGAGTTCAAAGCCTTCCGTTCTTTGGCGCTAAGCCTTCCTTGTGGTCCAACTTTCACAGCCACACATTGCAACTGGGAAAACCATAGCCTTGACTATATACATTTTTGTTGGCAGGGTGATGATGTCTCTGCTTTTTAGGCTGTCTAGATTTGCCATAGCTTTCCTCCCCAGGAGCAAGCTTCTTTTAATTTCTTGGCTGCAGTCCCCACCTGCAGTGATTTTGGAGCCCATGAAAATAAAATCTGTCACTACGTCCATTTCTTCCCCATCTATTTGCCAGGAATTGAGAGGGCCGGATGCCCTGATCTTAGTTTTCTTACTGTTGAGTTTCAAGCCAATTTTTGAACTCTCCTCCTTCACCCGCATCAAGAGGCTTGTTAGTTGCTCTTCACTTTCTGCCATTAGAGTGGCCTCATCTGCATATCTGAAGTTGTCAATATTTCCCCTGGCAATCTTAATTCCAACTTGTGATTCATCTAGTCCTGCCTTTCTCATGATGTGCTCTGCATATAAGTTAAATAGGCAGAGCGACAGAATACAACAATGGTGGCTAACCTTTTCAGCACTGAGTGCCCAAAGCACGCATACGTGTGCACAAATGCATGCGTGCACACACAACTCCCCAAAATTCAATGTGCGTGCATCTCCCATGCATGCACCCCGTCCCACCCCAAGACCCGAGGACCAGCTGGCCGGTGGGAGGTGCACAAGCATGGTTGGTGGAGCTGAGCTGGGGCACACGTGCCATAGGGCTTTTTGTGCCACCTCTGGCACACATGCCATAGGTTTGCCATCACGGGTATACAGCCTTGCCGAACTCCTTTCTCAATTTTGAACCAATCAGTGGCTCCGAGTTGCCATGGAGGCACCAAAACAATGAAATCAAGAGCAAGCTATTTGAACAAAAGCAGTCAAGCCCAGAATTGAAAAATCATCTAGATTGTGAAAAGAAGCAGAAGAGACACTAGATCGTATGCTCAGCTCACTCACAAAACCAACACAAACTGTTTCTATTTTGAAATTGCTTCTGGATTTTGTGCTTACAAAGGGGAAAAATAGATATATGAAACTTTGATTTTATTTTTGTAAACTAGACAGCCTTATTGTTATAGAAACGGCTTATCTATACTGTTGGGTAAAGGCAAAAAGTTGTGGTTGTAATGTTGTTACTTTCCACTATGCTAAAGAGAGTGCAAGTCAGTGCCTTTTTCTTTTTCTCCTGTTACACTATTTGCCACCTTTCCCCCTCCTTCTCTTTTTACTTTTTCCTGCTATTTTTTCTTTGTATTTTATACTTTGATAAACTAATAAAAAAGTTAAATGAAACTCACACAAACTTTAGGAATAAAGAACGACATAACATAGTCGGCAACATTATTCACTACCACATCTTTGCATTGCCAGTAATGAAAAATTGGTTGGAACGTATGGTTGGAAAAGTAGTTGAAAACAAACAGAAGAAAGTGGGGATAGTTGATGAAGTGATATACCATGGGATGGTAGATTAGAAGACAAAGAATTCTTTGAGAAGATCATATAGCATTCAGTTCTGGAAATCGAAGTGGAAAGATTATGGCATAAACCAGCTATGGTGATTCCAGTGATTATCAACACCTTGGGTGTCATACCAAAATCTTGGATGACACTTAGAAAAACTGCACTGATGAAATTCCTTCTTTAAATTACAGAGGGCCATAACTGCTTGGATCTGGACATACACTATGAGAACAAATTATGACATCTTAGGTTCTTGGGAAGAATGCGATGCATAGCAAGGCCAACACCAGCTAACGATCTGGCAGCAATGATTTATATTGTTGCATTATATAATAATTAGCTTGATACCCATGCTTCACTATGAAACTATGTGATAGGGCTTAGTTTTGGGGGAGGAAAATAAGGGGGGGGGATTCTGCATCTGCCTACCAGCATCCATCAGTATTCATCTGGCTAGCGTCCTGTCTGTATGTGGGAGAGTTGAGGGCTGTTTGGAAACCAAAATAGTATTTGCTGTGTGAGAAGAAGGAGACAGCAAGGAGCCTGGGTGTGGCTTAGCTCAGCTGTTCTGTAGTAAAGCTGCTTGGTGCTGTGAAACTGAAACTGAAACTCCTCTCCTCTGATTGTGTTTTGCATTTGGAACAGATGTCTTTTCAGGTGGGGAGGGGGAGTAGAACTCCTTAGCATCAGAGCATGTTAATAATAATAATAATATACAAAATGCTAATGCTCTGATGGTCATTCCGAAAAATCCTTTCTTAGTGAGTACCTAGAAGCCAAGAGGAATATACATGTCAAATTTCAAGTTTGTAGGCTTTACAGTTCTGGAGATTTTGTGATGATGCATGAGTGGTATTTTGTTTTTATATATATAGAAGATAGATACACTGACTCCAAAATAGTGGAATATCCTTTTGTGCAATCTCTATCAAGATAAATCAGCTGTGAAAGATCAGGAGAACTTCAGCTTTGGTTGCGTCTTGTTTGTCTAAGAGTCTTTTAATGACAGACCCATTTGCAAGGACTTGTCTGTAGTTATAACTTTCATACCAACCCAAATGAAGCTGCAAATATTTTACCTTCCTTTCATTCATGTCCTTACTTTCACCTTCATATTCACCCTGAAAAAAAATCAATGACATGCATGTTAAAATATACATTTCATAGTAACATAAGACTGTACATGGAAATGTTTTAAGCCAAGCACCGTCTATAAAAACTGCTCTTTAATCCAGGCCGATAACGGGCTTGCAGTTCAGATATTTCTCATTACTAGCTGAGCTATCAAGAGTAATTTTTCTCTTTATCTCATAAAATGAAAGTGCTGACCTAGATTTCTTAAACTCCCCAAAGTACTGTATTTTACCGATAAAGCACACGATTTCCTTGAGCAACTTCCAAAGGCAATATTAATAACTGGATTTTCCCATATCCCTCTCCACTTTATCACCTTCTAATCTTGCCTTCGTTGTCATCCTTTACCCTGAAGACTTCCTGAAGTGTAGATCTAATTGGAGGATGGATGGAGATGGTGTTAATGAGGTGAAATATATTATAGAACATATTGAATAAATAGAGCCTGTAGCGGTGCTGTCATATCAAATTACTGATGATAGGGAAGACTATTTCTGCACTGTCTTTGTTGGGTGAAGAAAAAAAAGAATCCTGTCTAAAAAGTAGCATTTGATGGCAAATCTTAAGTTTCTCCCAAGACTTTGATCCTGAAGGCCCTTCCTTAGCATATAAAGGTACTATATAAAGATACTAGCTGGCTACCAGTGCTTCGTGACAAAACTTGGTGATCGGGCTGTGCAGGAGAAATTCGGTTCACAATCCATTGGCTCAGTGGTGGTCGGTGATTGAAACACATAAGGTAATATCGTTCCCACTGCCTTGAGTCCAGAAGCAGTTCCATAGGTGGAAGGCATAGACATTTTGGTGAGGTACCGACGTTTAGTAATGTAAGGAGTCCCAGACTGCTCCTGAGTGAAGGAGTGGAACGTCTGCCAGTTTGAACTGAGGTAACGGAATGTGAGGCAACTGGCAGTTGGAAGAGAGTTCTTTTCAGGTGGGGAGGGGGAGTAGAACTTCTTAGCATCAGAGCATGTTAATTACTGTATAAGAAATACTAATGCTCTGATGGTCATTCCGAAAAATCCTTTCTTAGTGAGCATCTAGAAGCCAAGAGGAATATACATGTCAAATTTCAAGTTTGTAGCCTTTATAGTTCTGGAGATTTTGTGATGAGTGAGTGGTGCTTGACTTTTAGATAGATAGATAGATAGATAGATAGATAGATAGATAGATAGATAGATAGATAGATAGATAGATA